TATCAATATTATTATTAATATTATCATTAATGTTATCAATACTTTTATTATCATTCTTCCTCTTATTATCATTATTATTATTATGTATATATGTAATGTTTGTTTGTACATATGTATGTATGTTTGCGTGTGTGTTAGGTGAGAAAAATACAAGAATTAAGAGAGGAAAAAAGAGCAAACGAACGAAACAGCACAGGAGATAGATAGATAGATAGATAGATAGAGAGAGAGAGGGAGAGAGAGAGAGAGAGGGAGGGAGGGAGAGAGAGAGAGAGAGAGAGTGTGAGAGAGAGGGAGAGAGAGAGAGAGAGAGAGGGGGGGGAGAGAGAGAGAGATAAGAGAGAAAATTAAGAAAGAGAGAAAAATATAAAAACTAAATAAAAACAAAGAATTTGCATCCTACAAAAGCTACGCAAACCACACCAATAAGTATAGCCAACGCAGAGAGGTTGACGTCCCGGGGAAACAATTTTTTGCAACGCTGTTAAATATTTGCTTCGAAAAGGTAAACAAAACTGGTGCTTCCCTCCGGAGTTGCAAAGGTGCAATTCCTAGCGTGGATAAACCGTTCTCTTTAGTTTAAGATTAAATAAATAGATAAACAGGTAGTGTAAATAGGATATTGAAATGCATATAATAGGGATTCTAATAGATAAGGGTGGTTTTGGTGGTGATAGATTGTATATAATGATAAGGATGGACAGAAATTTGCAGTGAAACTTAAATGTAAAGATAATAATGATAATAGCAATAATATGATAATAGTGATAATGATGATATGAAAATGAATATAATGATCCTATTTGCGTATTGATAACGATGGCAATGATATCAACGACATTGATGATAATTTTGGAAGTCATGATAATAAGGAAAATAGTATTATCAGTAACGATGATATTTGAAATGTGAATAATAATAGCAATAATAATGATAATGATAATATAATGATAACAATAACAATAGTAACAATAATTATAATGAAAATAGTAACAATAATAATAATAATAATAATAATAATAACAATAATGATGATAATGATAATAATGATAATAATAATAATAATAATAATAACAATAATAATATTGATAATCATAATAATGATAATAATAATAATAATAATAATAATAATAATAATAATAATAACAATAATAACAATAATAATAGCAATAATAATGATGTTAATAATAATAATAGCAATAATGGAAATAATGACAATAATAACAGTGATGATAATAATAGTAATAATACCAATAATCCACGAAATAGTGTCTCGTGTACAGGGTCTCCAACCAACAGAAAACGGTATTGGCGAGTGTCATAGAAAACGAAATCCATCAATAAAAAAAGACAAAAAAAAAGGTAAAAAAGTGACAAATTGCGTTATGATTCGTTAGCGTTACTGTTTACCGCAGGACTGGCTCCGCGGCCGACAGAATACCGAAATGCATTGGTAACCTTTGATGTTTTTTTTCGTTTTTCCTTTCTTTCTTTTTGAAAGCGATGTATCAGTGTTTTTTCATGTGTGTGACATTGGCTATTTTTTTGTTTCGTCTGTAATTAGACTGATGGACACACACACACACACACATATACATATATATATATATATATATATATATATATATATATATATATATATATATGTGTGTGTGTGTGTGTGTGTGTGTGTGTGTGTGTGTGTGTGTGTGTGTGTGTGTGTGTCACACATATATATATATATGAGTGTGTGTGTGTGCCACACACATATATATATGAAAGATGGAATAATGCAATACCGCATTGATATGTGTATATAACAATCCTCCCTGACCTGGCCTCGAACCTAGGTCACTCCGGGAATGAGACCGGAGGGCCAGTACTAAACCAACCATGCCACGCGACCCACTAAAAGGAGTGTGCAACTAGGATCTAACTAGCTCCATAGACATTACCTATCTACTCATACATGAGTAATGATAGCGAGGTTTTACACACCATCCCCGTGGGCACTCGGTGGAAATTGATTTAGAAATTCGAAACCGAGGTCAGATATCCTGAGGTATATATATGAAAGATGGAATAATGGAGGATTGTTATATATACATATCAATGCGGCATTGCATTATTCCATCTTTCATATATATACCTCAGGATATCTGACTTCGGTTTCGAATTTCTAAATCAATTCCCACCGAGTGCCCACGGGTAGTGTGTGTAAAACCTCGCTATCATTACTCATGTATGAGTAATATATGTGTGTGTGTGTGTGTGTGTGTGTGTGTGTGTGTGTGTGTGTGTGTGTGTGTGTGTGTGTATGTATATATATATATATATATATATATATATATATATATATATATATATATATATATATATATACATATATATATATATATTGCGTAAAGTGGGTTTCTACCACAATATCATTGTCATTATTATTGTTATTGACATTATTGTAATCATTTATATTGTCGTTATTACTACTACTATTATTATCATCACTATTATGATAATGATATTTGTTGCTTCACAGTCCAGAGCTCTTGATGTCAAATTCTCCGGCCAATGCTGTGGAAGCGAGGAGCAATCGGTGTTTTACAGCGTTTTCTTCAGTGCTAGATAACTTCTAAATATTAACTCAAACTCCTCGCTGTCCTTAACTTCGAAGTTTTCAGAACAAAGTCGATTCTCATGTCAATCCCATTTTCAGTCACAAATTTCTCGTACTTGGTTCTCATTGCTCCTGCAGTAAGTTAAAAAAAAAAATCCAGTTACAAGTCAGAAGATGAGTTCCCTTCATCATTAATCGACATGCTTGTTGTCTCATCATTAAATGGCTTTCATTTCTCAGTCTTTATCAGTCTTTATCATTCACTCGTATGTCCTTAAGTATGGCTACATCAATGATCTTAATCTCTCTCTTATGTTTATCAAACGGATTAGAGTTTGGAATCAGTCACTGAACTGCTTTGGATTGTAAAATTCCCCGAGATCTTTAACTCCTAATTCCCTGAAACGCCTTCCGGCTTATGCTAATGCCACTTCAACACCCGTTCTGATTGATGCATCTCGCGTAATAACCACAACATCATGCTTTCTCTTGTATTCACTTTCCTTTGAGCAAAGTTTCCTAGACTCGCAAACACTACGTAATACTGTCTTTTTTTACTGCGCAGATGCATGTCGACACTCTTTTTATTTCTGGCACTTGGTATAATTAGTTATCAAAGCTTGTTCCTGGGAAATTTAGATCTACACCTCAGTACGCCCCTGTTGATCACTTTTCCTCTACCACTTCCAGGTGTCTTATCATTCCCTTCTAACATTCATTTTTCTCATCGGTTCCGCAAGTGTAAAAATAGTAATATCTTCCTAACCCCCCCCCCCCACACACACACACACATACACGCACACACACACACCACCACCACCACACTCCAGAGGGCACAGGGCAAAAGGATAAAAAAAAAAATAAAAAAATAAAAAAAAATACGACCTCTAGCACAGGATCTCCAGTTGAATCCGGATCGTCCTGTTCTAAAAGGCATACATACGCCAGAGCTTAACCCCTCCCCCCTTAGCGCTCATGAAAAAAAGAAAACAAAAATGGAGGGCCCCTAGGTATTGTTTATGCATCGCTTTCTCTTTCCAACGCTCTAGTCTTTGTTCTATATCTTGTTTTCTAATTAAATTCTTTCGGTCGCGTCTCATTTTTCATTAAGTTTGATGATGCTATTTTAAACGCCATCAATCAACTGTTCAATCTGATTTGTGACATACCATCCTAGGCTGCTTTCTTCATTAACACGAATCTTGCGTCTTGTGAGCCCACTTTCCCCAATGCTTCTAGACACATATAGTCTATCAACACCATTTTTAGGGTGTAGTTGATTTTCTCGTAGTTCAAAATGCCGAGATACTTTTATAAGTACTCCACACGTTTCTTGACTCTTCTCCCAAATCCATCTTGATATCCTTAATGAATGTCTGCACTGGTGAGATCGATGCAGTTACCTCTCGCTCACCCTTTCTAAAGACTTTTCTGTCATTCATAAACAAGTTTTTTTTTTTTTCTCTATTGCTCATTGTATATCCTGACGTCAAATTCCGTAGTATCTTTGTGAGGAGGACCATACATATTACAAAGACCGATGGAGACAAACTACCTCCCTGGGATATGCCTCGCCTGTTGTTAAAACTTTTCAATATGCCCTTAACTCGTTATTCCAGTTCTCCATCGATCTCCAGCGAAAAAAAAACAGAGTTATCACATCAACTCAAGACTTTCTCAGATCCAGCAATGGGAGACCATGTCATAAGCCGTATTATAAATCGATCAACTCCAGGTTCTTATCAGTCTGTCTTTTCCTTCCTTCATTCAACACCATTCTATCTATCAGAAGTTATCTTTCTTTCCTCTGCTTTTCGTCTTCCATCCCTCGTTCCTTCATTCTGTTCCACTGGCAGCTGTTCGTTTGTTTCAAGGAAGTCAAACGTACAATTAGACATTTCCGTTTTTAATTTACACACTGGTGATAAACAGGATGTTGAACAATAAATTTGCAGTAATAAGATAAGATAAATGTATAATAGATTGCATGACTAATGTAAGATAGGATTGCATGACCAAAGTAAGATAGATAGGATAGATGTAAATAGATAAGATTGCATGACTCGCATAAGATATATAAGATTGCATGACCTTTTTTTTCAGGATCGTTCAAGAATCGTCCTCTCTGAGATCACCTTTTTGGAATATCCTCCGGGTGGTTGATCAGTCCCTCCATTTATATTGCTGTTCTCCCGTGCACTGCAATTATTAATAACTTTTTAACAACTGTTAATAACTGTTTTGATAACTGTTGATAAATGCTTCAGCTCCTGCCCTCCTGTTCTGGGCATTTCAAATTTGGTATTATTTTAGGCCACTTGGTCAGCATCGCATCGGCTCTCCTTATATCCTCTACTTTACCCCAATACCGTTTCGAATTTATTTATTTTAGTGATCTAGAATCTTC